TAATTTACTATGAGATTCTTAGCGCAACCTTTATTCAGAAATAACTTGAAAACGGCAAACTAATCGCACCCCAAGAGTTTGGCTATGGTACGTCATTTTAGGTTGAGGTCTTTAACCATTCATTTGCAGGTTAATTATGCCCATATTTGGTAGAGATTAAATAAGATTTTTAGTAGATTTTGATGAAAATTGTAATTGAAAAATTGTGAATCCAATGAAATGCGTGATTAAAATTAATTGTTAATTTTGATTTGAAATTTTAATCAAAATCAAACAGGGGCTATGTTCAAATTTAGCCCCAGTTACTACTTAATAATTGTACTTTAAAATGTATTTAATCTGTCACTCAACTTTTTTCGTGTTATTCATCCATCACTCAACTCAACGTCGCTAGTCCAATAAGACGAAAATTCATACATGTATTACAAAATTCCAACGTGGTCAAATTGTATAGTTAACTAAGGACGGTGTTTAGTAGATCATAACCGTGTGTGTTTATATGATTTATCACCTGTTTTTTGAACTTTTTAAAAATTGTGTACTTAAAATATTTATTCATTATGAATAATATTTTAAAATGACATGTATATGTTAAAATTTTACTTAAAATAAATTTGATTGTGGTATTTTTATGTTTTAGTCAATAATAAATGGGTTTTTAAAGTAAAATGCTGAATTTATAAAAGTAAATCAATAATTTTTATTAATGTTTCAACATATTTCTATTTCTTACTTCTTTTTTTAAGAGTAATGCTATTTAACATCAAAAATGTTTAATATCAGTCTAGATGGTATCACTTGTGTTATTAAATTATAGGTTCAATTAAATACGTGAATTTATAACTTATAACATATTACATATTTAATTTCTTGCAGCCAACATGAAATATTTTGTGCTCCAACTTGGTAACATAGACGGGTCCGAATCAGAGTGCAGTTTCCAGGATGTTTCCGGGATCAAATGCTGTCCCCAACTTCATTTACAACTTTTATTGCTTTCACATTCAATTCTTTACCCTTCAATTTTCAAAGCATTTACAAAACAATCCTTAAGTTTATAAGAAAGACAATATAACCTTCGAGTTCAAATAACGAAAAAACATAAAAACAACCTCACATTAGCTCCCACCCCCTTCCAACCTGCATGAAAACTCGTATCACCCCTCCAATCTCTCGTTCGTTGTGACTTTTACATACCTCATTTCTCATTGTAAATCCCTTTTCATTATTTTTGGCTATTGATTTCTATTTTTGATTAAATTTCACTTGATATACACGTATTACATAGACGAGATGAGGCTATTAAAAGAATAGTTTTTCTTACTTTTATATATATGTTTTGTAAATCTGAAATTGAAGATAAAACAATCTTTTATTACATCCAGAAATTGCTCTCTCAACTTTTCCACTAAGAAGATCAATGTTTTTATGGAGGGTTAATCACTTGAATCATCATTGAACTTTGCATAAAGTCTTCACTAGGTCATGGATCTTTAAAAATTACCCCGTTAATCACCGAACTTTGTAATTTATTATCTCATCCATCACTCACTCAATTAACAGTTAAAAAAATGACGAATTTGTTGATGTGGCCGACTAAATTGCTTACGTGGCAATCTATTTTCCACTTGGCGTCCACCTCAGCAGCAATTTAAAAACTAATATCGATGGTATTACGAATTACGAAGTTCATTTATTAATCGAGCAATTTTTAAATAAAGGATGGTATTTAGAAAATATGGGGATCACTAATGCAAAGATCCCTCCTATAAATAAAGGATCCCCACGCCCATCGTCCTAAAGTTATTCAAACTGCACCCCCACACACAGCCTCTGTAGAAATCCATACATGGAGACGAGCATGAAGACTTTCCAGTCTGATTCTGCATTTTCAGTCAAGCGCAACAAAAGCAGAATGTACCCATTTGTGACTCCCGTACGAGGAGCCATAAAGCGACAAATCTTCTCCTGGCTTTTGAAAAAACTAAAGCTAGTTGCTTGTAACCTCTGTTTCTTCACCAAAATCACCACCGAGGACGCCGACGCTTGTAGAGTTGTGCCCCATGATTAGATATGATCTGTCTATACCGTTAGACGTTGTGTCTGTATTTTCAAATAACTGTGGATAGGCTGGCTGCAAATTATGCTTTTAAGTGCAGCCACAGCCTGGTGTTGTATGTCTCTCTCTCTCCCCCTGTTTTTGGTTTTTACAGCTTGTGTGTGTGTGTGTGTGTGTACACTCTGATTTTAATCTTTTCTTGTTTGAAAATCTTCTTGTTCTTTAATTCAAAACTGCAAATTTGTCGATATATAACAGAGTAGAAACAGGGCATCAACCCCTTCGTCTCCAAATCTCATCAAAACGCATTTCCAGATTTTAAATCAGCTGTGGAAATCGTACTCCCGACTGACCATTTATCTTGTTGTTGTATTTGGAGGCACAAAATTGGAATCTAAGGTCGATTAAATTCAATTTTGAATTTCTCCAATTCGGTGCCCCAAAATTATGAAGCTTGTCATGCATGATCCATCCCTCGTCCAAAAACCACGAGGCTCTGTAGCTGCTGACCGTTGTTGTCAAGTAGTGGGACGACCCATTCCCAATTTTGCACTTACAAGCTTGGTTTTTTTACTCATCAAATTAATTGGCGATCAGGATGAATGTGGAATACTATAGCTACATGTGAAGATTAGAGGTAGAGGGAGAGGTATTGACAAAAAAGATGAAAAGGGTAAATCTTTTTTTTTTTTAGATCAAAGCCCAGTTCAAATGGTCCACATCAGTCACTTTAATTAGATTTTAGTCTCCCTATGACGTATGGGTGAAATTTGGAAAAAAAAAAAAAAATTTATTTCATTTACTTGGCTGAAATTTGGTATTGCTTTCTTTTGACAACTGTCTTCGAATTAACGACAACGGAATTGTTTAGGGGAAAAAGAAAAAAGATCTATGTTCATCCAATGAATCCGCGATGAGAATGAATGTGAAATACTACAAAAGTATGTTGTTAAGTCGTGGAGCATTATTGCGGCTTTGCAAAGTTGGTACGCAAATCAACCTAATTTGTCTCATAAATAAGAAGTCGTAATTAGAATTTTGTATCATCACAAAAAGAGATACGTTAGAGAAGGTGGGGTGTGTAGTTTCTTTGGTGATTTTCTTTTCGTCATAAAAAATTACAGTAGTGACGGTCGACGATGTAGTTCTTTTGTGCCTTTATTGTCTTAATATGATTTTATTGTTGGTATAAAATTAAAATTTCAAGTTCTTAACATATTTTTAGTGAATAATGCTATTTGTACGTAAAGAGTTACATAATGTTTTGCATAAAAATGAGGTGTCAAAAAAGTGTCAGGAAGTTTTTTTTTTTTTTGAATAAATTCTGACCCAATTACATCTCATCATATCATGTACATGTAACACAATCTATTTTTAGTATATGATTTTTATAAAAAAAATCTCTTCCTTTAGATTTCGGGTTGTTTTCAAGTGGAACGCCTTTTATTCCACGCTAATGGCAAATGAAGAAAACAAAACAGAAAGGAATTTATCTACTCATTTCAGCCACAGAGCAACTGGTTGAATGGTATGGAACAATACAATGACCCACGTGCTTCACGATTCAAATGAAGGTTTAGATTTCAATGGCGCTTTAATTAATTACGTAGGATAATGTTTTGGTCAAATAAGAGAGTGCCTAGGCGTATTGACTAGAAAGTTTGACGATGATGTGATTTCTATTACATATTTTAACAGGATCTTGAACAATATGGGTGGAGATATTTATGAATTTATTTCCTCATATGCGAAATATTTCCAAAAAAAAAAAAAAATTTAAAAATTAACAATATTCTGAAATAAAATAATGAAATTTTGATGAATTTATCACAATTAAATTAAAAATCAGCAATTAAGAAGGAATGAAAAATACTTTTACATTAAGCCCTCATTAAATGTTATAATTTTTGAAATAGTGTTTTTTTGGAGAATGTGTGGGTGAAAAATAATGAAAAGTTTATGGTTTATGTGTAATAATATTTTGTTGAATAATGTGTGATTAAAAAGAAGATAGAGAAAAATTTAGGATTAATAGCAGAAAAACACACAGAAACGTTACCATTGGCGATATACCGCTACTTATTGAAAATCGCAGAAAACTCTCATATTTGAACATTTTGTGCGATAAATCCCCTACTGTCAAATTTGTCGTTAAAAACAGTAAAAATGACTAAACTAAAAGTAATAATTTCAATTTTAATATCCAAACTTTTTATTCTTTTACAAATTATACCCAATTTGTTTTTATGTACCACCTATAATTCCAAACATTTAAAACTTTATTTTCCACTCCACCTCACTTCATCTTCTTCCCCAAAACTTTATTATTTTATTTAATCACTTCCAAAGCTCTCCTAAATCCCCCCACCTCAAATTTATCATTTCTTCTTCTCATTCTCAAGATTACACTCTAAACCCTCTTCCCAATTTGAAAAAAGATTACACTACAATCACCCCTCCCCTGCCTCGCAGCATAGACTTATAGAAGAGAGAATTTTATGACAATTCCTCACGCGTGGCCCAGTTTGGAAAAAGAAACCAAGTCTACTTATGAAGACCCATGTTGCATATAAAATTAAAGATAACCACACTGTAATTTTGATCCAACAGCAGCACACAGTACTAAAATAAGAACATTGCTACTTGTACATAATTTGGTGTACATCAAGGTATCAATCCCCTCACACATGGGGGTGGGGCCCACTTGGAGAAAATATTTTTTATTCAAATGGGTCTCACCCTCATTTTAGAGAGTGAATACCTTGTTGTACACCAGATTATGTACAAGTAGATAAATTCCTAAAATAAATGTTAATTTTCTTTTTGCATGGTCTGTTCATATATTAGGGCAGAATAAAACAAATAAGAAACAAATATTTAGCTACATTTTGAAGCTCTTCAGCAATGCCATAATATTAGTAGCAACAGATAAAATAGCAAGTTACAAAAGTGCTATTACATCTCTTAGAAACTCTAAGCCCAGAAATTCCACATTATCTTTAGCAAATTTGTCCTGCATTAGATCTTCCACACTAGGTACTTTATATCTTTTTGGTAAAACCCCAACCAAGTAATCAACTATGAAATGATCAGCTTCATTTTGCAAGAAATACAATTGCTGACCGTGAAGAACGGGAGTGATGATGCAAAATGGGTTATCAAACGGGAGTGATTTTAGTGTAATTATTTTTTTCAAATTGGGAAGAGTGTTTTAAAGTGTAATCTTGGAAATGAGAAGAAGAAAGGAGGAATTTGGGGAGGGTTTTGGAATGGATTAATAAAATAATGAAGTTTATGGGAAGAAGGTGAGGTGAGGTGAGGTGAGGTGAGGTGGGGTGGGGTGGAAAATAAAGTTTTAAAGGTTTAGGATTATGGGTGGTACATAAAAAATTTTTGGGTATAATTTTAAAAAGAATAAAAAGTTTAGATACTAAAATTACAATTATTTCTATTTAATTTTGGCATTTTAATGTTTTTAACGGCAAATTTGACGGTATGGGGGTTTTCGCACAAAATGTTTCGAATAGGGGGTTTTCTGCGATTTTCAATAAGTATAAGATATATTGTAAATGGAAACATTTTTAGGAGGATTTTTTGCTATTAATCCACAAATGTATTATAAATTTAACATGGCCAAACTAGGCTAAGTGCCAAGTATTACAAAGGAAAACTTGTATCCTTAAAAAGTTTTGATAGTAGGGGGTGTTTATATGTGTAAAGTAGTTTCTTAACCTGCGAAGTTTCAAGGATCCTTCCTAATTTTTGCTTAGTTGTGTATATAGTCTACCACCACACGGCATAAAAGTGATTTTAGCAAGTAAACTCGTAAAAAAAACACATACACACACACACACCATGAGACCAATTGTCAATTAGCCACTATAAATGACAAAAGAAAAATGGCTTGAACCCCCAAAAGAAGGAAAGCAAAATAGATAAAATCAAGAATAAGAGAGCATCTCTAAGAGACTCTTTAAAAGTGAAATATTCTCTATTTTAAAGGGCCAACATTTAAAATTATGTTGTAAAGGACTGTTCAAAATACTATTTGAAAATAGTGAGTGGGTTAGTTCTTCACACTCTATTTTAAAGAGCCAAAATCACACTCTATAATTAAATAAAAATGTTTCAATTTTCAATATTCAATATATTGACCCAATTGAATTATATTTACAAAGAAAATGAAAGAATATAATATATATATATTCTCTTGGAGATACTCTTAGTCAGTTAATGACCTCTTGATTTATTTCTAGTTTCCATTTGATGTTTTGGCTTCCATTTTGCAATAAGTTCAAAATCATCTAGATGAGTTTGGGGATAGGTGGATTCAACAATAAAATCCTCTCTAGAAGAGCGACATGAGAGTTATTGTTGGAGTAAATTCGTGCTTCGGAGAGTGTTACCTTCAAATTCAAATAAGCAAGAGAAAAAAAAACTTGTTATACACATCAAAACTTCACATATTCCTCGTAGAGACTGCAAAAAAATTTGTTAAATTAGATACCCATGGAATCGCTGCCTCAAGCCAATAGTTGGGCGGGTACGGAGAACATGATATCTGCCTCGTTACCCTTCACATTTAAAGTTCATTTCAAAATATAATTTTTTTATCACACAAAAAGAAAAAAAGAATCATCCTTTCTAAATGAAACATGAATTGTTTTTAACTTGTAAAAATAATGATTTTCATCAATTAAAGACATTAAAAAAATAAAAATAAAAAGGACAATAAAAGGGGTAAGGGACCCGTCTTGTCCTGCCTTAACCGGGTATGATAGTGAGGTAAGGAGATAAAAATACCTAATGGGATGGGAGGCGAAAATAACTGTCCCGATCTCGACCATCATGTTGTCATCCCTAATTCCTTGTGGCAATCAACTCTATGCAATTTCAATTTCCCTTATACAATCCTCTCTCATGCTATAAGGTCCCCTTTCCGTTCGACCTTAACTACATTTCACTTGATTCGTAGGTACTACAACGATGTGGAGAAGTAGGATGGCGTTGTTGAAGGGTTTTTCTTATTTATTTATAGAGTAATGTTATTCATAATCAGCGACTACTATAATTATCTTATGTGAAAGCAAGTTATTTGAGGCATTAGTTTCCGTAATTGTGCTGCCTAAAATAACAAATTAATGCCTCAAATAACTTGTTACCACATGGGATGACTAATGCAGTCACTGAATATGAATAATATTACTTTTATTTATGCATATATTTTTCCATTTGAATTTAAAGAAAAATACCATCTTTCAGAGATAACACGATTAGGAAGTTTCAGTAAAAAGAACAGATCTGTCCTAAAAACTAAAGATTGAATAATTAGATACTAAAAAGAAAAATATCTGGAATGGAAGTAAATAAGCGTCAAGAGTCGGGGGATCAAAAGAAAAATATTTGGGATGAAGTAAATAAGCATCAAGAGTCGGGAGATTAAAAGAAAAATATCTGGGATGGAAGTGAGTTAATTAAATCACTGTCTACTAAACTTTAAACATGGTTACTACTTGCTCACTGAAATATAAAAAGTTATTCAATGCTCACTGAACTATTCATTAGTTTATCCATCAATCACTGAAGCTAATTCCGCCTCTACAGCTTACCCTTGGATCCGACATAGGTGATGACATCTTCCTCTGCTTGTCTCATTCTCTTCTTTTGTTTTCTTCCCCGTTTAGACACATCCCAAGTTGGTGGTTTGGCTAGAAAGGCATCAACCGAAGGCCATAACACTATTCCATTGATTGGATAGGTGATATTCTCATAACAACTGAGATACGTGCTAACTCTATAGCACTCATGCAAGTACCTCCAAGGCTCCCACCTTCTATCTAAAATTACAGCAACTGCATGACCACATGGAATCTCTGAAAAATCACATCTCCTACAAGCACACATCTCATTATGTAGATCGACAACAAATTCTCCACTTGGACATTTCACATAAGATTGTGCCCAGCCAGACCAATCCACCTCACATCCATTTGCTAACTCACAACTCTTCACAAGATTCTGTTGGACTTTAGGACATAAAGGTCCAGTTACCTTTCTCATCTTGTCCCTCATTGCTTATATCCTATTCATGAAGCTTATGTGCAAGACAATTAACATTGTCAATATGGATTTTTCCCTTTCTTTCAATACCACATTATTGAAAACTTTACATAGGTTGTTCAAAAGTATGTCACTCTTCACCTTTGTCATAAAGTAAGCCTTACTCCATTCACTTAGGTGCCTTTTCTTTAACCAAGAATGTGCTGCTTTGCTCTCTTTTTCAATCTCACCCATCCAAAAATTCCAATCAGCTACTGTCATCCATAAATAGTCTTTCAGAGTCAAACTCTTAAAGTCGGTCTTAAAGAAATTACTATACATATGCCTGACACAAAAATGATGTTTAGCCTCGGGATACAAATCGACTATGACATTCTGTAGACCCTTTTGTCTACCAGTCATAGAGGTCCAATGACTCCAATCATTACTATTCAGGATCTTCAAATCTTCACCCAGGTGTTGTAGAAACCACCTCCAAGTAGTAGCATTCTCACTCTCCACTATTGCATATGCTATTGGGTAAATGCAATCATTGGCATTTAATGCCACAACTACAAGCATCTGACCTCCAAATATCTCTTTTAAGAAACACCCATCTAATCCCAAAAGTTGCCTACAACCTGACAAGAAGCCTCTTTTGCAAGCTTCTATACCTTGAAACTTTAGTTCATGCATGGCAATTATGCATGTAGACCCAGGATTAGTTTTCAAAATCTCTGCTACAAAAGACCTAAGCATACCGAACTGATGCTCATCAGATCCTTGTATTAATAACCTAGCATATCTTCTAGCCCTCCAAGATGTAACTTTATTAATTGTCAACTTCAAATCATCCTTTACAGCATTCATAATAAGTTTAGACTTCCAATCAGGGTCTACTTTGAAAGTGTCTAAATACCTATCTGCTATATACCTCACAGTGCAATGCCTATTTATTCTGTCTCTTACATATGTATGCTCTAAATTTGCTGACTTTATTTGTACACAACCATTCTTTTTATTCCAAGAAGCCCATATTTTTCACTTGCACCCTAATCTACATATGGTATGTGCTCTAAACTCATCATTCGATCTAAACCTCAAATTACATCTAGTAGCAATCCCATAATTCCTCACAGCTTGTCTAAACTCCTCAATGTTTTTAAATTCATTTCCAACCTCCAGTTGTGGGTTGAACTTCTCCTTTTCGGGATCATACACAGGGAAGTGATAAATATTTTCTTCACTAGACGAATAATCAGTATGAAGTTCCTCCTCACTTGGGCAATCTAACTCATCAGAACTTTTATCTTCTTTCCCTCCAACATCAAGTTCAAGTACAGGGTCTACATGTAATCCACTCTTAATATGCTTGGATGCATTCTTATCATAGTGAAAATCATCATCGTTAACCTCATTATCGGAATCAATCAACTCACATTCAATTGGTATCTCTTCCTCTTCCTGAACTGTATCGAAAAAAAAAACTTCATGAAACTCACATTCAATTACGTGTTCCATGAGAACTAATGAACTCGGCTAGACAAACTCAAGACATGTCTCCGACATATGTAATATAAAATTGAAGAATTCATCAAAACTATTGTAAATAATTTACCTTGTGGTCCCTCCTCCATCGTCTGCAAAAGCGATTCTTCCACTACATTTTTTCCTATTGGGTCCCTCATGTTCCTTACAATGAAGACAAGAATATCATTTAAGTTTTGTGACTAAATGTTTCATATCTTTTTGGCTATGTTTGAAGTGAAATAAAAATCTAGGGTTCGCGATTTTGGGCTTAACAATGAAGATAGAACCTACCAAGGATTGGAATTGGGAAGGAGTGCAATTTGGGGAGGATCGATTTCGGTGGACAGCGATTATCAATTTTGGCAGTCGAAGACGATTTCAGTTTCGACGGACTGATTCGATTTTCATTTTGAGTGAAATTGGAGAAACCATTACTGTTTTCACGTACCCTCTTTGGCTATTTACAAAAATTAATTCCTATTTGGCTATTTTTAAATGACGTGTATATTTCATTTGCCGTATCATCCGCCACGCAAACACTTTTGTCTAGCTGTAGAGACGGAATTAGCTTCAGTGATTGATGGGTAAACTATTGAATAGTTCAGTGAGCAAATAGTAACCATGTGTAAAGTTTAGTAGACAGTGATTTAATTAACAGTCAAGAGTCGGGGGATCAAAATAAAAATATCTGGGATGGGTGCAAAATCCCTTTTTTATATAACCTCTGCCCACTTCCCCCATGTAAAATTCTCAATCTCTTCCCCTCTCCTTCTCCCTCAAGAAATCCATATTCCATACCCAGAATGGAGCAGCAAAAGAACATAAAGCCCTTTTCTGACAAGCCCAACAAAATCAAAATATACCCTTTTGTGATTCCAGTCCGAGGATCGATCAAGCGCCAAATCTTTGCATGTCTCTTTCGAAAACTGGAGCGTGTTTGTAAAGTTGGTTCCCGTCTGTTTTTTGACCAGGATAAATGCATGTAGCAGGTTTCATAGTTTCCCATCTATATGGTCTCTCTATCCAGTTACGCTGTTCAGTCTATATGTTTGAATAATTTTGTAAAGGCTGTTGGCTTATATTGCAGCTGCGGCCTGCTTTTTGTTCGTCCCTTCGTTTTCTACAGCTTATATGTTATTGTAATTTATGGTGTGTGATCTGTTGTTTGAAACTCAGATATGGAGACAATCCTTTTTCTTCCTTCCATAACTGCAAATTTGACAATTTTTAGCGGAGCAAAAGGGATAGCAGAAAGAGCTTTGTCTTCAAACTTGAAACACAAAAAACAGAGTATTAATTATAATCTCAACAAAACCGAAACACCGGTTGGAACGCATTTTCTACAATTTTTCTTCTCCAAGACAATAATATGTACTTGATACAGAACTGTAATGGTAGACAGTAGTAGCAATTTCAATTTAAACGTTCTTAAATGCACTATTTTCTTAAAATAATTTCTCTTAGAGAATTTGAAGATATTTATAAATATAAAACTGAGAGCGACTTGGAGATTATAAAAGTGAAGTCCTACCAACTCATTGATACGAGTTCGTGTATCTTTTGGGGTAAACAACACAATGGTACCTGAACTTTGAACTCTATTTTTTGTAGGTACTCAAACGTTTAATTTTCTCTAGACTACATCTGTACTTTCAAATATGTTTCATACAAGTATCTAAACTTTCAATTTTCCTAATCCGTACCCAAACTTCCAAATACGTTTCACATTCATACCCAAACTTCCAAATATGTAATTAACCGGTTGTTGACAACTAGAAATCCGAGACCATGGTCGAAAAAGTCTTTCTTGTCTCCCACCCTCGTCGGGGATTAAAATAACTCCATAATTGCCCAATTTAGGGCCCGTTTGATTCTCATTATTGTAGAATGAGAATGAAAAATATAGTCGTTATTGGGCCCCACATAAGAGAGAGAAATTCAAAATTGATGGCTTGATATAATGGATAACGGTTATATTTTTCATTTTTATGGATAAAAAATGAAAAACAAATGGGTGTTACTTAGTTTTTGTATTATTTTTAACATTTTAATACTATTTAAATTTAAACATAAAAATGAAAATATGATTCTAGATTACCTATAAAATTCGTTGTAAGGCCTTGTTGTCAATAGATATATGGCCACATCTCTATCTATCTATATATTTCCTGCACATTAGGACAAAGACTACCAAGATCAACAGACAAGAAAAGACAGTGACGAACATAGGGGAACTCGGCTAGGCTGTAGCCCAGTCCGTCCCCAGCCCACTCCATTTTTTTGGTGTAAAAATTTTAATTTTACATAGTAGCTCGACTTGTAATCTTATCGCAGATCCATTCTTGAAAAAAGGGGTTAGCAAATGTTGGTATTCCGACGATCAAATCAACTTCCTGCACAAGTTACACGGGAAATCAAGTGTCGTGGGATAAATAAGCATATAATTGGTTAGAGTTTAAAGAATACTTGCTTTTCTTTTTACTAGAGGACTATTTCTTGTGAAATTAAATTAAGATGTCACAACCCCAATTTCACATGTTGTATTGTCATCGGTTCATAAAGTCCCAATTTGGTCAACGTAAATTTCTTTTAACAGGTCTGTTTCCTCATGCGACTAGGTTTCCTTACGAATATTGATTCCACAATAATTTCCTTTATCCTCAAAGATCACGCATTGACTTTTAAGAATCGATCTGGATCCAAATGTCATGGGAGTCTTTGACCGTCGAACCCTCGATTGCTTATGAGTGTTCGGTTGCTATAGGTTCAATCGGTGGGCAAAACCTATGCTAAAGACTATGAGGGATGATGATATTGTCAAAATAGAAGCCTAGTGGGTCACATACATTTACCTGAGTGAGGAAATCTTGGAGATTCTACGCGTCCCACCCTTGAATGTTTATGTGGCCTTCACGAGGTGATTTTGTAGATTTTCAGGGTGTAATAATAGTTCCTCAAGTCTGAGTCTAATATTCATATTAAACTTAAGATTTTGAACATCTCTAAAAGACTTTCTAAATACAAAATACTCTTTTTTTAGAGAATCAATATTTAAAAATGAGTTTTAAGAGACTCTATTTTTAATATGCAATGACTTCATTTAATAAGTTACATATTTCAATAATCTACATCTTAAACTATTCAAATCACATTTAAATTGATTGGTCAATTGATATATAACAAATTATTAAGTACGTAAAATATGAAAAGAAATCAATAAATGGTTTTTGAGAAAAGTAAAATGAAAAACCAAAATAGAGAACTTGTTAGAGCATTTCCAAGAGAATATTTATTTTTAAACAGCATATTCTGTCATTTGGAGAGCATCTATAAATCTAGAGAATTAAAATTTTAAAATACTCTAACAAGCTCTTTATATTTAAAATGCTTATTATTTTTCTCTATCATTTATTTTAACTAGTTTTTCTCTAATTATTTTATTATTTTTTCTACATTGAAATTTGGAACACTTTGAATGCATTTAATTATAAAGAGTGAGTTTGGCTCTTCAAATCCACTCTCTAAATTAAAATGTTAATTTAAAAAGTCAATTGGAATATGATTTTAAGGGTTGACTCTTTAAAATAGATATCATCTCATATTTAAAGAGTCTCTTGAAGATGCTCTTATAGTGTATAAAAATTTTGACTCTCTAAATTTAAAAATACTCTCTCTAATATATAAGATACTCTTTATAAATAAATAATCTCATGAAAATGTTCTTAGTGGTTAAAATTTTCTTTGAGATGAAGAAAGCCTTAATTCTACATTAAGTGGACATGCTTCACATGCATTTTGTATCCTGTGAAGACAAACTTCTCATACTTTACATTTGTTAGCATCAAGGCCTCAACATTGTGTGGCTCTATGTGCAAAGTTTGATAATAGTCATAAGCCTAATTCAGTCATGCTACATTTACACTATTCCTTACACATTTTTTTACACTCTTCCACGTGACAACATTTATACTCTTGATTTTGAACTCATTCATCACGTTACTGTAAAAATTTCCTCCACATAGGAGGGAATGTCAACTAAATTGTTGTGCAAAATGTACATATAGCATTATTCTATAAGGCGATCCCTTGCCTCTTCATTTTACTTTGGCTAAATGTTAATCTTCAAACTGTTTCTTTCTTTGACAATTTCTAGTACAAGTTTTTCGACAAGGGTAATAACCAAGTTCCAGAACCTTCTTTGCTTAGGTAATATTTTGAGTTTTCAGTTGCAAAGATTCTCCTTTCCATTTTTGTTTAGTTTCTATGTTTTCCACACCATTCTCCAATGTCAAGTTCATCGTGTAAAAAAATAATTTTTATGTCAAGTTGTTCAAGTTCCTAATCAAAATATGCAACTAATGCAAATATAACTCCAACGATAGTGTATTTAACAACTAGAGAAAAGATCGCATTATAATCTATCATTCTTTTATGTTCAATCTTAAGCTATTAATATAACTTTAAGTTTTAAAGGTTCAATCTTGACCTTAAAACCCACTTACAATTAACTATTGATTTATTTTTATGTCTAAATACTAACTCCCAGATTTGATTCTTAAATAGGAAACCCATCTCTTTATTTTTACTTTCATGCACTTCACTGATTGTTCACTCTTTACAACATCCTCATATATATTTGGCTCTTTATCAACTAACTCTTGTAACTAGCATAGGCAAAAGCAAAGGCAAACTCAAATTCATACCTAAACCTTTGGGGTTACCTATGTTGTCTCGTCTCGCTATCTCTAGCTAACCAATAATTTACTAAGGGTCCGTTTGACAAGCAAATATGAAAAGGAATTCTAATTTCATGTTAGTTGGAAAATAAAAACTTATCAAATTCGTAGGAATTCGTTTTCCATAAAAACAAAGAAAATGCAGTTTAAAATGATTATACATTAGAATTCGATTTCCATTTTCACGTTGCAATCAAACTGCCAAAATTGAATTCGTTTTCTTCGAATATGACATTTTTCATGAAAAATGTGGCAATCAAACCGGGCCTAAAGGATCTTGATGAATTTGGCGTTCTTCTACCACTATTTCACCCCTATTTTCTACTTCAAGTTGTAGAATTTGAGTATCCCCATCATTAGAGGTGATAGGAACATGTGTACTATCTGACTCCAACTGCAGCTATATCTATCATTACCTTATTGATTTTCACACAATTGACCATAACCAGACCCTAAAAAAGGCATTTTGAACTCATTAAATGGACACCTCACTCACAACGATCTTACCTCCATTTTGACTTCTATCTCACAATCTACACCCTTGTTATGTTCTTGCAATCAATTATGATTTCTTGTGATTTTGTAATGTTAGGCTAATGTTTTAATTTATAAGACATTGATAAATTTTTATTATGACATTTTAATATAAATTCGATAATTTGACACTCAATATGTGTTTAATCTTAGATAATTGTTATAGAATTTAACCCCTGTTTGGCCCCCATTATTTGTAATTTTAATGGTTGGAATAATATTTTTTTGAAAAATGTGTAGTCTAAAAAGAAGAAAGAAATTTTGGGATTATGTGTAATATTATTTTATTAGAGAATGTGTGGTTGATCAAAAAAAAAGAAAAATAAATTATAATTTTAATGGTGGCCAAGCGAGGTTTTAACGACTTTTCAATTGCTTGATAACTAATTGGATTGATTGTGAATTTTGTTGATTTTCATAAAAACAATAGGATAGAAAGCAATTTTCAATAGCCACTGTAAAATTCGATAGGTGACAAGATATACCGCTATACTTTGCATAATTTATACAGATGTTTTAGTATTTTTAATGCATGCTTTCACGTTTTCATCAT